CAGCACAACTTGCTGAACTTGCTTCTACACCATCATACTACTAGGTGGCAGTATTGTACTGTACGTACAAAATCACGTGTGTAAAGAGAGCAAACATAGAAACTGCTCGACTTGTTACCAATGATTTGTCTGTCGGTGTTGAACCGAAAATACTTCAGACATTAGTGTCTCTGAGTGTTTTTACAGATTGATTTACAAATCTTACTACAGATTTGTAAATCTGTAAAAAGATTTGAGGATTTTTTCCACATTTGCAAACCAAATTACACACACAGTAGTTTTACACATTTGCAGATTGTTTTACAGACACACAAATCTCTTCACACATTTTCAGTGTCATTTACAAATTTTCAAATCCCACTGTACACACACAAATAGAGATACAAATAAACAACTCTCCACACACATTTGCAAATAATAAAGCAACAACTTTGGCCCCATACATGTGCCACATCCTAGGTAGTTGCAAAAGAATGACGGGAGTCAGAGATGAAGACAAATATTTCTATTTCTTACAATGACATTAACAGAAGGTTGAACCACTGCTCAATTAACCTAGACTCTGATCTTGACTGTAACTGCGCCAAATTTGGACTGAATCAGTTGAAGTATGTGTTCCATAACGGTCTTAGTCAAGGGTGTAACTTTGTAATGAAAGTTGGTGGGGACACTATAAGGCAGAGGTCATGGATTAGCGGATCGCGGTTCTGGATCCAGACCCACCTGCTTGCTAATCCGGACCCAAAATTATTTAAAACATTTATAAATTACCATATGATGTCTGACGACAGCATCTAAACGTCACTTATGCCGCTTTTCCTTTACCCACAAATCCCACATCCTCTACCAGGGCAACAGTGGCGTTGGATGTAGGAGTTTGCCCTGAAATCGAAGGGTTGACGGTTCAAGCCCCGGAACCGACTTTAATTGTCGTTGGGTCCCTGGGCAAGACACTTCACCTGCATTGTCTACTGATGGTGGTCAGAGGGCCCGGTGGTGCCACTGTACGGCAGCCTCGCTTCTGTCAGTGAGCCCCAGGGCAGCAGTGGCTACAACGTAGCTTGCCACCATCAGTGTGTGAGTGAATGGGTGAATAAAGCGCATTGGTCAAATCTCCTGACTTGAAAAACGCCCACCCTGCTACGCTCCAGACCTCCTGCGCAAAGCAAAGCCTACAGCCTCCACTGTTCCTCTGGTATTCCTGCGCTCTGACTTATCCTCGGAGCTCGATTAGCAAAACAGGCAGAAATTACGGCTTGATAACAGATTAAGCATCCGGCATATGTGTGGTTTCTGATGGAGATAAGACATCTGCTTCCAAGAGTACCAATAATTTGGATCCAATCCTTTAAATAAACAGTGTTAGTTTTTTTTAAATATATAAGAATTATGCTGTAATTTGTAGTTACTGATCTGTTGTTACTATATTTTAATCTGACAAACCGGATCTTGTCACTGTTCTTTTTCCTGTTTGGTGCGATTGCAATAGCAGATCTTGACCTGACCGGACAAGAGCGGAGCCTGAACATTTAGAGGATGTTTGGCTCAACCTGCTGCTGTGAAGCAGGATTCTCCACCATGAACAGAATCAGAAATAAATCTGGATTAATTATACTATAAACTAAGAATTTTACAACTTTTTACAATTTTTATATGCAGTTAAAATAAAATAAACAACGGGAAACTAATAGGTTTTTCATGGATTACTCACACTAATACAGGAAGCAGTGCAATCGAATCCCATTCAAACTATACTTTGTATGAATACTTGATAATAGGCTAAGGATAAAAAAATCTTAACTCATTATCTTATTAGATTTTTTACAATTGACAAAACAGCTAAACTGTTTAAACCTTCTACGAGGCTGTAGATTCTATGAAAACTCATCATGACACAAGTCAGCATTTCTGTGGATGTTTAATTTTGGTAGATTTGATGTACATTGAGTTTTTAAACATTTTCAATGGACCAAAATAAAGATAAATTAATAATATAATATAGTATAATTAATAATAAAAATGAGAAGATCCCTCTGGTTCAGATAGAATAGAATTTAAAATCCTCCTTCTCACATATAAAGCCTCAAATGGCCAAGCTCCATCTGATATCAGAGATCTG